AAAATAAATTATTTGTTAATATTTGATGATTAAATGATTAATTAATGGCGAGCGAATTAACTTTTAGGGAGTCCACGCACTAGAGAGTAATTTAATTTCACTAAAAAATGACTGATGTGCTTTTTCTCCCAGATATATGGAAAAAATCCAACCTAACCTCAAATATCCGTAAAATTAAAACAAAAACCTCTAAAGCTCTGTAAATAATTATACAATCTGTGACACGTCCTTGTATACTATATGTTCTAAAGTCTGTAAAAGAAATACGCAAATCATTCGCATAAAGTAATTTTATAACAGTACCAATATATATATATATATATATATATATATATATATATATATATATATATATATATATATAGACCTTTCTCTTTTTGCAGTGTAGATCGGTTTGTGCAGAAAACGTTTCGGGTTTAATCCTGCTCTTAGTATTATTAGGCTTAGAATAACATAAACGTGAATCATCTTTTTTTCGAATTTTTCAGATATTTCCACGAAGTCTATTATTTCTACACCCAAATCCAAACAGGGGATTTTTCGTGCTGATCTAATTCACAATTTATGTTGTTGTAAATGTAATAAACCATTAAACCGAAACATAGTTTTTATTTATTCCATTTATTGGCAAACGCACGCAACTGTTGCATGTTAAGAGTCTGTTTTTTATTTCACGATATTAAAAACACCCGTCAAATACATGGTACGAGGAGGTAACTACTTGTATAGTGGAGAAACATATATAATTTGTAATATGGAAGTTGCACTTTTGATTTGTAAGTATTTTTTTTATAGACTTTATTTAGCTAAAACCCAAAGTAAAATGTAAAATGAGGAAGTGTTTCTATCTATTACCTAGGAAGAATTATGTTGATTTTATTTATTGCACTAAATTGTTTATTTATAACAATTTCTCTCTTTTTTGTTATTTGCGGCACACAAGGTGGAAATTTGATGATCAACGAAATTTCTTCAATGTATTTTTACGAGAAATAAAATTGTTTAAAACTTTCGCCTGAAGCTAGGCAGCATTGAAAACAAGTCTAAAAGGTAGGAAAACTTCACCAGAAATTACGCAACGAAACCAATCCCATCTCTATCAATACTTTTTTTTTCGTTAGAAATTCTGTTTGAAGTTAGGCAATACAAGTAAAGTAAAAGTAAAAAAATTCCCGGCCAGAAAGTAGGCAACTATTAAGTCGTTTTTTTTATAAATAATTATAACAATTTCTTCTTTTTAAAATTTCATATGGGAAAAAAGATTATTATGCACGATCACTTTAGAATTTCATATGATATATTTTTGGATATTAGATAAATCTCCACCCTGTATAACGACGATCTAAAATGGCAAGTGTTTTTATCAATGTATCTGTCTAACTAAGCGAGCCAAAACCATCTAAGTCTCCTATTAAATCATAAAACTTCTTGTTTAAACTTTACATTGGTTGTATTCTAAGAAGCGTATTTACGAAATAGTATAAAAGTCTACGTAAAGTAAAAGAAACAGTAACAGTACATATCAGATGGTTATATGATAAGAAATAAGTAATTTACAAAACCTCGTTAGATTTAGCTCTATAGAGTTTTCGTCATTAATTATTGAACCATCTTCCGTATTTAGCTTCGTTTTAGAGAAGCCGACTATCTAATTCAAAACATCGCAAATCCTACTAATTTAACTCTTAGATCTAGTTGACACATTGAAGTATCAAAACAAGAAGCTGAAAACAAGAAGCAGAGTACGAAGTATCATATTTTGCTTATATTCTCTGCGATGTTATAGATTCCTGTTTTGAATTTATTACCAATTATGTCTTTTAAAATATCGAATAAAATATAGCATAAGTGTCGCTAAAATTTGCGAAGGACCTCGAAAATTTCTAGCAACGTATCATTTAGTAATTAATTGAATACAATGACCATTCTTAGCTTTGTCGATACCTAAAAACATAATAAATTTAAGATTAAATACAGAAGTTTTATGATTCAACAGGAAATAGGATACCTACCTAATGAATAATGCTAACAGGATTCTTTAATTATGTTACATCACCTGAGATGTCTCAACAACTATATTTCTAGGATGACGAACGAAAAAACAAACATTAAAAACCTCATTATTAACTGCTAAGGGTACACCCATATTGGAACCGTATTTCTCCCGATACGATCCGATCCGATGTAGGCAGATTTTTCGATTCGACGTGAGTGCGTATACTCGTTCAGTTAACGTCCGACCGACGTACGTGGATACATAAATTTAACGAAGACAGATCTTCAGGAGAATTTAATAAAACTTTCCCACTGTTCCCACTGCAATATAGGCACTATGCATGAATATCTTGAGTTTGTTTTGAATCCGACGTCGCCCGATATCGGATCGGGAGAAATACGGATCCAATATAGGTGTACACTTACCAGTTACCTGTTAACCTTATCGTTCAGTCGATTCTATAACAAGCCATTCGTCAGCTTGTTATACGATATTTTAATACAGGCATCGATTATAGTTCGTTTATTAAAAACAGGCGGTGACATCACGAGAAAATTCGTAATCTTACCAAAATTTGATAGTTCAAAGTATGCCACACTTCGACATGTCTGGATTATTGAAATACAAAACTTGTCAGTAATTTTTAATAAATAATTAATGTACCTGATTAATATAAACGAGCTATATGCTGCTAAATTGCTAAAAATAAAAAGTATGTCTGTCAATAATTTTTGTATCTTTTTTTATAACGCATCCGATCGAATATTCAAGTAAAATATGAACATATTTCGATTATTAATTTATTATGGTAAACTTGTATGGTGTAGTAGATAACAGATGGATATATTTTTTAATTGTCTACTCATTATTATTATACAGTTAATATTATGGACATAAAATAAAACGGTAAAACGGAAAATTTTTGGAAAATTCGAATGTACTTTTTGTAAAAACAAGAAAAATGATTTAAAAATTAGAAATAAACAATTTTTCTCACTAAACCGAACCTAGCGATTTAAAAAAATGTTGCGAAATAGTTATAATTTACTTAAGATATTGTAAAAGCTTAATAATTAAAAATAACTTTTACAAACGGTAATTTTACCCAAGAAGAGTAAAAAAATGTATTTGGATGGCATAATTATAGTTATATACACAGATAAGTATCGTACCCAGTGTTATAACGATAAATTTAAAAAATACAAATTATTTTTCTATAAAGGGTTCTTTTGAGTTTATTGTGTACCCATATTGGTGTATTATCCAAATAATGGAAAAAAATAGTAATTATCGAGGAAATTTAGTAAAATATTCACGGCGTATATAAATACCATAAACATTTAAAGGGACCTCAACACATATGTTTACTAATGTATAGTACCCACAACACATATGTGTGGTATTTTTGAACAGAGTATGTTTAAAAAGATTTTAGTAGAATTATAAAGTTTACAAAAATTAATAATTTTTTGTTTTGTTCAGAAAGTTTAATAAAATATTCCTAACAGTTATGCTACTCTCAAAACATTCTTACCATTTTTGTAAAAAAAAAACCACTAGTTATACCACCTACAACACACGTTTTTACTATTTTTGTAGAAAATTACTGTCTTTAATGTAATTTTTAAACAACGACTAACTTTTACATGATTTTAAACCAAGTTTTAACAAGATTTCTACTAAATTACAAACAATTTTATAAGAATTTGTATCGTGGTCATTGTACGTTAGTGAGTTTTGGGAAAATTTTACCAAATTTACTAAGTTAAAACACTAAAGTATTGTGTAATTTTTGTGCAATTTGTAGTAAAATGTTAAAATTGTAAACTAATAGTAGTATTTCAGCGGAAAATTACAAATTTGTCAATGACCAAAGAAGTATATCAGTTTACTTTAGTAAAAATTGTGATTGGAAGTTAAGCGAGACGAAGATAGGCACTGAAGATTAAAAACTTCGTATATTTCGGCTTTTGGGTAAAACTTTCAAGTTTATTTAAAATTTTTTGTAAAAACACTTTTACTGCTTACCGCAAGAACTTTTTATTTGAAACAAAAACAAGCAAGAATCCTAAAAGCTAAGAATACATAAAGTTTTTTTATGTATTTGTTACATTTTAAGTCAGTTACACGTCATCGATGACATGTGACGTTGTCACAAAAAACAGATGTTACAACTTACACTTCATTATTGCTGTGTTACGTGGCAACACAGCAATAATGAAGTGTAAGTTGCCTAAATTTGGCGCAAATCTGTCCAAAATCATTGAAATCTAAATTATACATCACTACAATACTGTAAAACGTAAAAATGAACATGTTTTTGCTTTATTCTTGTGTTCTCGGTAGTTTTGAATAGTGTTTAACATGTATATCATTGTTTTTGAACTATTATATATTCATAGTACCATAAAATTGTCAAAATTTACCCCGAAGGTTATGCAATGTAAAAAAACACGAGTTAAGGTCGCAAAGTGCACATAACAGTATCAAAAAGTTGTGTTTTCTGAAAGTATGCAACATACGTTGCATGAAACATTTCTCTCAAATTGTATTCCTAAATTTTACAAATCAACAACATCAGGCATTACCGGAAAAGTAGCGTTACAGTAACGTAAAATAATAACATCTAACAGGATGTCGTGTAACGAGAAAATAATAAATAATAAACTTTTATATCCCTCTCTTAATGCAACAAAAATTACTCACAGACCTACATTGATTTTTCTCATAGTTTATTCTTATTCTGATGGTTTATTCACATGAATTAAAACATAAAAACGTAAAAAGGTTTTACACTATGCTATTTTTGGTGTTCTTCAAGAGATTTTCTAGATATTCCGTATGTTATCACTGTTGTATGAACAAAATGAGCTAAACAAAAATTGGTAGATCATTTGATAACGTACTGTTTTTTGAAAGTTCCAGAATAACGTACAGAACATCAAAAAAGGTTGTCTCTAAATTAATGAGGCTTGTATCATATAGGCTTCGAGCCATTATATATATATATATATATATATATATATATATATATATATATATATATATATATATATGTACTTATGAACGTATGTATAGTTTTCATTGTAGATTTGTGGTAAATGCGCTGATGCCGTTGTTCGCCATTTCGTCCATGATTTCAGTCACGTAAGCTGCCACGTCTATCTCTTCTCTCTGCGCTCTAAGAATGAATGGATCCTGTAGGAGCTGTTTATACTTCGGCCTTTGATTTTCTTGTTTAATTAGACTAGAAAGTGACGTAGATTAGAATCTAAGCAATTTAGCTTAAATAATAAAGAAAGGTAAATGTGGACGTGTCTCTAGACTTTTTCGTGGTTGTGGGATGTAAGTTCATCAAATGTGTCAAAACAATACTAAGAAATGAAGCGCTTATTGTATAAAGGGTATAAGTCTACAATAAACGAGAAAAACGAAAAAAACTATCTAGTTTAGAAACTTGATGACCTATCAAATTTTGTTCTAGATATGAAATGTAGAAGGAAGCTAGTAGAGTGACATGTGATACAGAAAATTTGTCTTTGAAAACTATTAAGGCTAAAAGGACGTTTTTCTAAGCTAAAAGGCTGGGACTGGTTTCCTTTATAAAATCAATGAATAAAGACGAATTAATTTGCTGATCTACACGTAATATTTATTAATTTATTTATAAAAATGGGTTTAGTTTTATCTTTTAAACAAGATCTAAAGTACATCTTAAGACTTGGAACTTAAAAAAACTAATCACTTTCATATTCTTCATTGATTGTTAGCCAGTCCTTAAATTGCTCAAAAAAATTCTTTCTTTTTTTTTCGGCCTTGATTGCCACTTTTCTTTCGTAAGCCTGTTTATTTGTACACGAAGTAGCGGCAACATTTTTTTGACAAATTAAATTTGGATGAAACAAATCCATCGATGAACTCTAAGGCTGTTATAAATTCGGGGGTCTCACTTGAATAAGTTAAGTGTTTATTTGTGGCTTATTCCCATTTAAAAAGTAATTACTTTAAAATGCCACAAGAAAATAGCTTCAGAACAATATTAAGTGTTTATATTTTGATATAGCAAAATTTTCTTTAATATTATTTGTACTCATGACGATTCTTTTGGATTTCTTTTAAATAGGCTAGCCACCACATTTTAAAGTCTAGAATTTCATGCGTGTCTACTACGAGGTCTGGCTATTAAATAACGAGACATATCCGAGACTGATTATGAAAAAGAGTTTTATTTTAAAAATTATTCTACAATCGAATGCTCTCCTTCAATACACTCCCCTTCCCTCGCCACACACCGTTCCATTCGTTTTTTACATTGGTCAAAGCAATGCTGGAAGTCTTCTTTTGTAAGAGCATTTAGGAGCTCCGCCGATTTTCGCTTCACCTCTTCCATCGACTCGAACCGGGTTCCTTTTAAGGCAGACTTGATCTTCGGAAACAGGAAAAGTCACAGGGTGCTAAATCAGGCGAGTACGGCGCGTGTTCGAGCACTGGAGTGCCTATAGCGGCTAAATAACGCTTCACAGACAGCGCGTTATAGGCAGGTGCATTGTCCTGGTGCAAGATCCACGATTTGTTTTTCCACAACTCCGGCCGCTTCTTACGAACTCGCTCTCGGAGCGTTGCCAAAACTTTCAAATAGCAAGTTTGGTTTACAGTTTGACCATCTGGAACCCATTCAATCATCACGATGTCACGATGCCGTTGATGTCGAAAAAAACGATTAGCATGGCTTTAAATTTTGATTTCGACATACTTGCTTTTTTCATTCTCGGCGATGCAGGAGTTTTCCAGTGCATGGATTGCCGCTTAGTTTCAACATCGTATTGGAATATCCAGGTTTCATCGCAAGTGATGATGTTTTCCATCAATTCAGGCTCTTCATCTAACCGCTGAAGAAAATCTGAGCAGATCTGTTGACGGACGAGCTTTTGGTCAGGGGTCAAATTTTTTGGGACCAACTTCGCACAGACTTTCTTCATGTTCAATTCGTCATGTAAAATTTTTCTGACAGTTTCTTTATTGGCGTTTACAGTCTCAGCAATCATCCGAATACTCATACGACGATCTACGCGCACAATTTCATTTATTTTGGTCACTATTTGCGGAGTTGAAACAGAGACAGGTCAACCTGGACGTTGGTCATCCTCGGTGCTCTCTCGACCTTCAGAAAACCTTTTATACCATTCGAAAACACGCGCACGAGATAGAGAATTCTCACCATAGGCTTCAACTCAGTCGTAGTTTTTTTTAATTTAACGAGAAATTTCACATTGATCCGTTGCTCGTGTTTTTCGTCACACATTGTTATCGGCGCGAAAAAAAAACAGGTTCGTTTTTAACCTCTACAGAAAAAATACTACTACAGCGACAAAAACGTGTTTTCGTACTGAAAGAGTAGACACTTCCAGCTATCCAACGCTGCATTCGTTTCCCACCCTACCCCTCTAGGACGCCTTCTGCGCGCGCAATCTCGTTATTTAATAGCCAGACCTCGTATTTTAACAGTAAAATGTGGTCTCGATGGTTTTGTGTTTGCTATTATTATCACGTACTGCATTGGATTATAAACCTGGTGATGGCGCCTGAGAACCCTTTTTATAAGTCCAAAACCTCTGTCACAAGGTAGAAATGAATGCCCACGAACCGGAAAATATTGATGAATTATATCACCAAATAAATAGATTTTACCACGAATACAAAGATTTCCTTACTATTAAGCTGATAATATTTCATCTCACCCTCGTATAGTACTTACCAGGTATTCACGAATTCTACAAACTCTGCTGTAAAAGTGTTGGCGTTATGACTAGTGGATAACCTGGGTGGGTCGCCGTTGACGACTTCGTGAAGCTGATCAAAAACGCTCGTCCACTTCTTGTAGGGGAAATGACCGGTAGCCACTTCCATTAAAGTTATTCCTAACGACCACACGTCACTTCTTACGTCATAGCCTCTTGCGGTTTGAGGATCGATTCTTTCAGGCTGAAAATTACAAAGAAATTTCACAATGTTCTGCAAAAAACATGTCATTTTTTTTCTTGACTGTGAATAAAAAAAGTGAAAAAACAAAAAATACGTCAAAATAATATTTTTATCCCAATCCCCCAATTCTTTTATTTAATATTAACCTCCTCAGTCCATACGTGCAGCCTGCTGGACAACGTTTACTAATTTTTTACACGGTGATTAATCGGGTTAAGCATCGCCGCGTCCTATAGTGCAGCTTATTGGACTTCCTATTTATCAGTAAAATTTACTCGTTTGCAAAATTTGACTACAACGCCTACTTCATTAGTTTGTTGTTACATGTGGTGAAACTTGTGAGGTTATGATGGCATCTCCACAAAAATGCAGTAAGTTGTAGTGTTTTTCTTTATTTTAAATTATTGATTGTTTGTCATTTATGTTATTTGATATTTGGACGTTTTTGTGGTAAATATATATTTGAAAATAATTACAACTGGTCAGGTCAGGACTCCTCTGAAATTTTGTCCAGCATTTTGGTGATTGGGACTTAGTTAGCAAAATATTTTACCATACTCACGTTGTTTACGTTTGGTTACAGACAGAAAAAGGATGTTGACAGAACGTGAATTGGAGGATATTTTGGCAGATAGCGATTTTTTCCTCAGTGACGATAGCGATAATGATTGCAGTGAGAAAGAGAATGTTTCTGAAAACCTTTTAGATGTTTTTCATGAAAACGAAAATAATGCCCAAAATGATTTAGAAAATGATTCAGATTCGGAGTGGGATTCAGACGATGATACTCCTTTACTGCAGCGTTGGGAGAAACTCCAGGAAACGGAACAATTAGATGATGTTAAGAATACTTGGAGTGAAAAATTTTTGAAACTCAAGATTTCGACGTCGCTGATCCATGGATAGCTAATGAAGATCACGAATTCTGGACACCATTGGATTATTTTTCTGAGTATTTTCCTGAGCATTTTTGGGAAAACTTGTCATCAGTAAGTAACATACGAGCTATGCAAGCAAACGAAAAGAAAAGCCTAAAGTCAACTCCAGAGGAATTCAAGAAACTAGCAGGTATTCATATTTTGATGGGAATTTTTGGACTACCGCGTTTACGCCTCTATTTCATGAAAGGAATTAAAAGTCCTATTATTACTCAGCTTCCCCGAGATAGAATCTACAAGTTACGAAATTTTTTACATGTTGTAGACAACTGTGCAGTTTCAGAGGAGACCAAAAAGGCAAATAAACTTTGAAAAGTTCAGCCTATTCTTGATGTTGTACGAAGTAAATGTATCACTCTTCAAAGATCTCTCGAGTTGTCAACTGACGAACAAATGATTCCGTTCACTGGAACCACTAGTCTACGACAGTATGTCAAGAACATACCTAATCCTGTAGGTTTGAAAAATTTTGTGCTTGCTTCAAAACAGGGCTAGTCTTGGATTTCTTTATTTATCAAGGTGCAAACACTTGGCCTGATGCTGCTCCTGACAAATCCTTGGGCATTGGAGGCTCTGTAGTGAAAAAATTGTCGATGCACTTGTGTCCAGGAACAAAAATTTACTTTGATAGATATTTCACTTCCATTAATTAACTCGATTATTTATTAGAAAAGGGAATATGTGGTATTGGTACCATTATGAATAATCGAATTCCACGAGTACTTAGAAGCAAAATAAAAAAAAAATTCTGCTTTACTAAAAGAAGGCCGAGGGTCCCATGAAGAATGGGTACGCGGTGATAAGAAAGTCTCTATTTTGAAATGGATGGACAATAGATCTGTGACAATGGCTTCTACATCTGCAGGTTCTTTGCCTTTGACTGACGTACGAAGATGGGATAAAAAAAAATTTAAAGTATATTCTGGTGCCTTGTCCAAACACAATTGTTAAATACAACCAGTCAATGGGAGGCGTGGATTTGTGTGACAGATTTATCTCATATTACAGAATCTGTATGCGCACTAAAAAATGGCCTGTACGTGTCTTTTGGCACTTTATTGATCTTGCATTGACCAATTCATGGATAGAGCATCGTCAGGATAGGATAGCGTTTGGCGATAAGAGATCCAAGGTAATGGATTTACTGGAATTTAAGCTGTATGTTGGAAGGTCACTAGCTTTAGGTGGTAAGCCTACAAATGGGAGAGAAGCTAGTACGTCTATTTCAAGAAAACCGGAGACATCTGAAGATGAAGAGCCCATAATTCCAGTAAAACGATCTAAAGTTGTCCACTTACCGCCTATGGATGTAAGAAAAACTAGTAATGACCATTTGCCAATATGCTCTGTCGACAATAAAAATTCTTACATGCGTTGCCGAAACCCTGGGTGTACTAAGAAGACTAGATTCTTTTGTGTAAAATGCAAAATGTACTTGTGTATTTCTCCTGAACGAGAATGTTTTTTTCAGTTTCATACTTAAATTATATGTAAGTTAAGTCCTGATGTCCATTATGCTGGACCTGTCATAATTTTGTCTGTCAAATAATTTTTTTTTAAGTTTTTATAGATTTTCGTTTATTTTTTTCACAAATCAAGAGGAAAAATAGAAAATATTGCTAAAATAAAAAAAAAACTCTTTTCTTGGGACTGAGGAGGTTAATATATAATTTAATTATTATATATTAATATATAGCATATATTAATATATAATAATAATATATTTAATAATTATTCTAGGAAATTTGAAGATAAAATTTTACAAGATTTACAAATATTTTGGAGAAAACATTTCCTTGCACTTTTTCACTTTTTTAACATTTACCATTAAAGAATTTACTATTTTTGACCTATCTCGATCTAAAGTTATATAAAGGGCATTAATTAACTGTTAAGTGGGCATGTCTTAGAATTATATAGGAATACAGTTTGTCATATTGATTTTTTCGATCACAACTGTAGAACTAAACAAAAATAGCAGTCAAAATCACCAGAAATTATGCGAAACGATTGATAAATGGAAAACAGACCATTTATCCCTAACAAAACCCATGACAGTGGCGGTTTTGGAAGGAATTTGTTGCTATTAATAGATAAGGTTAATATACGTTCTAAGGGTAGTGCTAAGAAATTTCTAATTTCATCGATTCACTACTTCAGAATTATCTAATTATCACTGGCAGCAGCGTATCCGAGAATATTTTCTTATAACAATAATAATGAATAAAAAAAATTGTAAAAAACTCTTTTTTAATGTAAAAAATGAAAACTGATTCCGGATTCATTCCAGTTAAACGTGTGATCAATGTGCCTTATCTCGAAACCCAAAAATAATTGTGTTTGATACATTTAAAGATCCTGAACGTCAAAATAAAAAGTGTGATCTTCCAAAATTCTGAAATAAAAAAAATGACAGCTCAAACTCACCGCCATATATGGTCGACATCCTGCATCCTTAGTTCTCGCGATGGAGTCCACCAACTGTCCCGAAATGCCGAAATCACAGAGTTTAATATTACCTCTCTTATCTAAAAGAATATTGCTTGGTTTTACATCTCTATGGATGATTTTGAGTTCTTCCTTGAGATAGTTCAGTGCATTTACAGTCGCTAACGCTATTTTCCCTAAAATCGGCTCCGGAATTCGAGTTTTTAATCTCTCGAAGATAAATTTGTAAAATTTGTCTAGACAAGTGTCCATCAATTCCATGCATATCCAACAGTCACCCTAAAATATACAGTATAAAAGCGATAAACTATAATATTCCGATAATTACTTACCTCTTTAAAAAGCGCCCCATAAAATTGAACAATATATTTGTTTTCGCTACTTTTCATGATAACATCCAAGTCCATGAGCAGCTGTTTCTGTTCTTTTTCGTCGACTGTGGATCTGATCCTCTTAACTGCTACTACAGTTCCTGTCGCCTTATGAATCATCTTGTTTACAGTACCGAAACCGCCTCGGCCGATCTCGCCTAAATCTTGAAGATCCTCGGAGGTGAAGTCGTAACTAAGACCCTTAATTTGAAGCTTTCCTACTGAGGTCATCGAAGGGGGGCAAGGTTTCAGCTTGGTTTCACTAAAATATAAAATCAGAATGTCATCACCAAGAATGGAAATACAGATATAATGAAAAAGGCGAGATACTACGTGTAAAGTGGACATAGAGTAATAATTTTCATTACATCGTCGATGCTAAACACAGGGCCACCTTCAAATTAGTGGCATGCAATATCGATTACCAACCAAGAGAAAAGTATTTCCCGACTTTTCGCTTAGCACAGCATTGTAGGATTATTACCGAGACAGGGGTCCAAATCCAGCTCGTTACAACCATTAAGCGACAACTCCGTAACTTTAATAAAGCTAACTGATCCATTTTTACCAACGAATTTGATAAACTCTTGCGATGGATACCACTAATATAAAAAAATTATGCAAGGTTAAGAGGTGCAGTAATTTCCACAGCACACAAATACATTTCCAGATGCTACAGTAAGCACTACAATCAAGACGAAGTAAGGAAAGCCAAAACCTCTACCGAAATTATTGAAATAGGCGAAAACACCATTTCGGACGAACTTCTTTTAGGTCAAGACTCAGCTAAAAGAGAAAAATGGACAAATTTGAATCCCTAGACTTGGAAAAAATCTAGTCATGAAGCGTGTTCCCTTCTAAGAAAAGTTGGAAGTGACAAGCCAGCGACACGACAAAACGGAAGTCTCAAATTCTATCAAACATTAAACATGGCAAGACGTCTGGTACTGATTGCATTTCCTTAGAATTGTATTCGACGGATGGCAAGGAGGAATATCAGTCGGGGGCCGAAAATCAGCAATCTTCGCTATGCTGACGACGCTTTAGTACTAGCATCATTAACAAATGACCTTAAATACATCACGAACAGACTAGATACTATTAGTCGTGAATATGGACTTAAAATTAATGTACAGAAGACCAAGGTAATGACAATCGATCGAATTAAAAATAACCAGCCGGAAATACGAACCGTAGCGGGGTTTGAAGTGGTAAGCCGTTTCAATTACTTAGGTCCTGTTATCATAAACAATGGTGGATGCGAAGAAAAGATACGTCGACCCCTTACAATGGCTAGATCAGCAACGGTCAAACTTACTAAAATCTGGAAAGATACGGACATAACCAGGAACACGAAACTGCGCCTAATACGGACGCTTATCTTTCCTATCGCTACCTATGCGTCAGAAACTTGGACCATTGAAAAGTCTGATTCACGACGTATAATAGCCTTTGAAATGTGGGTATATCGTAGAATGATGCGCATACCCTGGACAGCACACGGCACAAATGTCTCAATATTGACAGAACTCAAGATTGACATCAATACTAGGCTTACCACAATCATAAACTAAAATATATTGAGGTACTTTGGACACATTACCAGACGAATGGAAGGTATGGAGAGGTTGGTGGTTGAAGGCAAGGTAGATGGTAAAAGAACTCGAGGAAGATCGCCACTCCGATAGTCAGACCAAATAAATTGCGCTACCGGTTACTCTCTGTCTGAGGCTGCACACCGCGCCCAGGAGAGAGAAGAATGGATAGCAACCATTCGTCAAATACCATAACGCCACCACATCCTCATGAAGGATAGAGGATAAAGGAGGAAGAGGAGGCATACCCTGAGAATTCCTGATCCATTGTAGAAAATTTTTAAAAATAAAAAACCCCTTCAAACAATCCAAAATCACAGCTATCCTTAAGCCAGAAAAACCAGCAGATAAGTCAGAAAGTTACCGCCCCATCGCCTTAGTTAGTTCACCGTACAAGCTCCTCGAAGAACAGAATTGGTGAAAAGCTATTTCAAGAAATACCAATTGAAGAAACAGGATTCAAACCAAAAAGACGCACCACTGACCAACTATTCACATAGAGGCAGGTCACCAAAGAATGAATTCAATACGCTGCAGTGGAACGAGGTATGTATGAAAAGAAGAGATAACGTCCTGGTTACCTGATGAATGCGGTGCTGGAGTATCTGTTCGAGAGGATTATGGTGAACTGTGAATATGGAGAGGATACAAACACTTTCGCATTCGCGGATGACCTCATTAGTCATCAACATATACTGGCATCAAAATCTATCGATTAAAACAAGGTTCAGCTTGTGGGTATGAAATAGACCTATTTTCGACAAAAACTACCCGCCTATAGTAGTGACGCAGGATGAGCCAGATCTCAAATACCGTGTTCGGAAAGCGGGCGACGCTCGTGAAGAAATGGATGATACAGTACGGACTGAAACGGAAGCTTATGTAATTGGACAGAACAAGCTTGTTTCGAGTAGCAAGCGCCTACACGACTGTATCTGCGGCAGCCTTGTGGGCCAATATTGCATGTATTTGCATTGAAAAGAAAAGAGCTTTATAAGAGAAGATACCTAGATCTTAATATGGACGAAAGAAGACAAGAAAAAGGATGGTCAATATAAAAATGGCAAGAAAAAAGGAACAACACGCAGGGTGTGGCACAGTGGACAAAGATGCTGATCCCGAACCTAAAAGTTGGACTGTGGTCATAGATGACTGGATTATTTCCTAACGCAGGTGCTCACAGGGCTAGGCCCTACCTTTCTCGGTTAGGGAAGGTTGACATGGATGATCTATACTTATACGGATCCTGGATAGTGGCACATACGATGTTGGAGTGCAACAGATGGGTAGTAGAAAGGAGTAGAATGTAAAGAAACAGGTGTGAATTTTGTGACAGTGAGAGAATGATTGAAAATAAAGCAGATTGGACTAGTGTACACAACTATATGCGTACGATGATCAAGAAAAAAGAAGAGGAAGAAAGACAGCTGGACCAACGGCAAAGGTAAGAGGGAAAGATGTTGTTATTATAGGTATAGGAAATACGTTTTGATAAAAAACATGTGAACCAGACTGTGGAAAAGGAGGAAATGCCCGGCTGAGCGTGATGTCGTTCTAGGTATGATGAGGCTCTTCCACGCGCTATATGTAACGACGTTCCCCTCAAAAAATAAAACGCAATTTTTGGAACAAAAAAAAAAGGGAAATAGGGAAAAGAGACCTTGTTGATAGTCTATGGATAAATGAAGGTAGTGATTCAGAATTGTTGCTCGATCTTACAGCGGCCTTTTCGCTTTTGGGCCGCTGGATGTCACAGAAGGGTCTAAGTGTTTTCTAGATAGGCGTTCGGCGTAGACTCATTGATGAGAGGGCATCATGTAACGGGATTTAATTAAGCATCAGATCTAAGTAACCCAATTCAGTTAAAAAGTTTAAAATCCTTTTAATAACATTAAAATTGCTTATCTATTGCTAAACGCGATTGTTTGTTTAGTGAAATTTGCAATGTAATTAAAAGTTTCTTAAATAATGTGTAAAAATTATATTAGTAAAACATTATACAAACAAACGCACGTGAGTTAAATAGCTGGAAAATAACAGTAGTAGATCAATATTATTAAGAATTAGGAGTTATCAGTCGAAGCTAGTGTTGTCATGCGTCAACTGGGTACTCTCTCTATTATTGTAGTTGTTAGAGAACCAATATTTATGAGTAACAGTAATTATGAGTATCCAGTGAGTTCGAGTTAATCAAACACATGTAGGGGGTAAACTACCCTTAGAGTTCCACTATATGGAACTCTTGATGGAAGCAATCCCATAAACATTATGAGAATATACATTATTATAGTCACAAGATTATTAGCTTAGTTGATACTTTTTCTTTGCCCATATCTAGGTCTACCCTAAGTATATGTTCATTGAGATATATCCAATTACATCTTTATATCATCTTTATATTACATCTTTATATTACATCATTACTTCTATACTTCTATTTAATATTTCATCTAATTTGCCTAAATTATTTTTACCATCCTTCGATAAATTATCATCAACGTTCGTCACAGTTATTTACGTTCTTGCTGATACTTTAAGTTCGCCCCTGTAGTCTGTTGTTTTCTTATCGGACCACCGCGATAAGAAACTATAGACTCGCATGGACTTCTGGAATGTCAAAGTCCTTCTCACTAAACACCCGATAATGCATTGTTTTATGTTTTACGTGATGACTACTTATCTACACATTTTAGCTTGTTTAATGATGTTTGATCCTACCTTTATAATATTCATGCAGTTTGGTTTTCACTGTTATACATATTTATTTTTTTTTAATTGCTCGACATTAAACTAAATTAGTCAGATTACGCAGCTCTTTAAATTACGACTTGTTTTTACAATTCCAGGATCGAATCCTTTTGTACTATTATCATTGATATTAATATAAAATGGTCGTGTACATATTTAATTAATCATCATCATCTTTGGTTCTACAACCCTGGGTGGGTCTTGGCCTGTCCAAGAATTAGTTTCCATTCCCCCCTATCTTTCGCCCTGGCTTTCCAATTTCTGACCTCTAGATTCCTCAAGTCATCTTCGACTTGAGTTTTAAATCTAGATCTTGGCCTGCCTCTCTTCCTGGTTCCTACTGGCTCTTGATAAAATATCTGTCTTTGGGGTCTCCAGTGTCCATTCTTTCAAGGTGTCCTAGCAACCTTGAAAGTCGATTAATTTTAATATCGAGTAGTCGATTAATTTTAATAGACCGGACGAATTTGCACTTTTCATAGCATTGATACAACTCAAAATTGTAGGGCCTGCGCCATATCCCACTTTCTTGTACTCCTCCGTATATGTGCCTAAGTATTCTTCTTTCAAAGTGGCCTAACAGTTCTTGGTCGCTTTTTACCATAGTCCATGTCTCTAACGCGTATATCAGGAGAGGTTTAATAAGAGTTACATATATTAGTATCTTGGTTTTTCTGCTAATTATTCTTCTTCTTTAAGTACCATCTCCGCGACGTAGGTTGGCAATCATCATGGCTATTCTGACCTTCGAGGCAGCTGCTCTGAAGAATTGCCTTGAGCTGCAATCAAACCACGCTCTCAGGTTCTTCAACCAGGAAACGCGTCTTCTTCCTACGCTTCTCTTACCTTCTATTTTTCCTTGAATTATGAGTCTCAAGATGTTAAATCTTTCGCCTCTCATTACATGTCCGAGATATTGCAATCTCCTTTCTTTTATTGTATTTTCCATTTCCTTCTCTCTGCCTATTCTCCTAACACTTCTGCATTCGTGACTATCTACCCATGGAATACTTAACAATCTTTATTAGGTGTGATGTTAAGAACTGCTTTAGTCCAAAGTAAGCTCTGTTCGCCAGATATATTCTTCTCTTAATTTCTACGCTTACTAGGTTGCTGTTATTTAGTTGTGTTCCAAGATATATAAACTCCGAGATCCCTTCGAATGTGTGTGCTTCTGTCACCAGATCTTGTGGTGCCGCTATTTGTGTGCTGTTCGTGACCTTCATGTATTTTGTTTTGGATACGTTGACCTGCAGTCCCATTGTCTTCGCTGCTTTTTCTAATGTTTCAAAAGCCTGTATCAAGTCTCTTTTTGTCCGTTTTGTTTACAGTATATACTAGTAAACGATCGTAAAGTATATAAGCCAGAACTTTGTAAGCCGTATTTACGAGGGTAATGCCTCGATAGTTGTCACATATTAGTGGATCCCCTTTCTTGTGAATAGGTATTATAATACCTACATCATAACTGTCTGGGAGTTTTCATTGTCTCCAAATGGATGCAACAAGTTTTATTATTATGTATTTTTTTAGCGCATTTGCTAAATACTTGAACCGCTCAGGGGGTATATCATCTTCTCCAGGGGATTTGTTGTTTTTTAACCTTTTATTGCCTTGGCAACTTCTTCTGTTGGTATATTATTTTTCTCCTTCTCATCGTCTAGTTCTCCACTGTGGTCATTTATGTCAGTCACTTCTCGGTTGCCTATATTTAATTTCTCAGCAAAATTCTCCGCTCACCTCTCCACTCATTGATAATTTCGTCTTCCTTACTTTTTATTATGGTTATTCTAGATTTAAAGTCTTTTCTGTTCTGGTTATTAGTTTAAGATATTTCCTCAATATCATTCCGGAATTCACAATCTGAATCGTGAACGACAGAAATTGATAATAAAGATGTCTCAGCCTCTTTTTCTAATGGAAACTAATTTAATAATTTTAATATTAGTCTTTGTTTATTCTCGATATATCTCGTAATATTTAAAATATTTTTATGACAATAAATACAAAATTTAATTTTCACTGTAGGTAAAATGTCTGAAAATACTAACCTGGAATGGCAATTATCATTTTATCAGTTGACATTGTGAAAGTACTGTCACTGTCATTATCAAGATCATCTGCGTCAAATTATATTTATATGCATAATTGATTGGATATCTATTTAGCGTATTCTAAACTCCAACCAATTATACGTCCGTAAGTAGAATTTGTTTTAATATGCGAATACCCGTGAACGATACCTAATTTTCTATGTATAATAATCACAGACTCACGTTTTTTTTTTCTGTCACTTCTAGCCTAATGCGTTAGAGAGAATTCGAACAACTATGACGCACTGAAAGAAGGGTTTGGGACGGACTATATGTACGTTTACTCATTATTTAGAACTAACTTTTTATTGCAATCCATTGCAATCTATGCAAACGACGTGATGCGATACCAAAAATTTTTAAGGGCCATATGTTCAACAAATTCCAAGGTTTGAGACAATTATGAACTTCTGCGGGGGTGACTGTAAGATTAGTTGGACGGGTGGATTTGTATGACGGAAAAATTTGATATATATTTTTCTGTGTTTTATGTTTTAATGAAACTTAGGGATATAGGATGATTGTGTTATTATTTGATGGAAAATAAGACTATTTTAAATGATGAATAATTGGTATTATTTATTTCGTAAGATGAGAGAGTGGTAAATCTGGCTCAAATTGTCGATGTCGGTTCTTTTGTTTATTGCAGTGGGTTTTTGAGGATCTAACACATTTCAATAAAGGATCGTTTATGATGGTTATTTTGCTTCGCCAGTATTTTAGTATTTGAGAAGTCAATGTGATGTTTGGTGGAAATGGCGTGTTGTGCAAGGGCACAAGAGGGTTTGGAGAGTCTTAGAAGTGACCGACTGGTCTGGCCAATGTAGCAGGAGTTGAGAACAAGGAATCTGATAGACAACATTAGTGTGCTCTAACGAGCTTACTGGAGTTTTAGACTGGAAAATAACTTTCCAATGGTTTTAGTGTTTTTTAGGGATATTTTGACGGGTAAGTTTTTGAATAGTTTAGTAAGCTTGTTCGTAATTTGTGGGAAATAGGGAAGAGAAGCATATTTTGTGGCTGGTTTTGGGGTTAACGGGGAATTGTTCGTCTGTATGCTATTGGATCTGGAGGCTAGTATTGCACCGTTAGGTGCTTCAGAAATAGAATGACCATAGCTTTCAGAGAAAAGATATCTGTTGATGATGGATATGGGGTAAGAGTTATCAATGAGAATGGATTTCAGTAAATCCAAAGATTCCCTCTTGTACTGCGTATGGGTCAACGTGTGTACTCTAAAGCTAAGAGCTTGTACAAGGTTATGTTTGTATCTCATTGGGTGTGTAGAGTGGTAATTTAAGAACCGGTTACTCGCCATTTCTTTCCTGCACCACGTAGTGCCCAATGTGTTACTATGTGTGCGTATGATTCGCATGTCCAAAAACGGTATGCTGTTATCAACCTCCAATTCACATGTAAATTGAAGGTGGGGATCAGCGTTGATTTATAGTTAGACCCCTTCACTTATTCAGACTAGTCCTTATCTGCGCCTATTTTTTGAAAATACAGACGATCCCGTTAAAGTACAATATTTGTCACATTTAACCAGCATATTTTTTGCGTAAATACTCTTTAATAATAGGAACACATTTTGTTGAACAAAATCTTTATAAATATCTTTAATAATAGGAACACATTGATGAAATTGTCTAAATCTACCGATAAAAATAAATCCTACATTCTTACTTAGAAATCTATTTAAAATACTTACCGTATCACTATAGGTGGTTCTTTTGCCTTTGTCACAGGCGGCAAGCTCATTTTGGGGCGATTGTTTGCAGCCGCAACCCCCACTTTATCGCCCCCCGATAAAGGTCGAAAAGAAAACGCATTTGAATTGCTGGCCTGCGAGAAATCGATGGACTGCATACCAGATCTTCTTGGAACTGTAATTAAAAGCAATTTTGACATACAGTTCTTAGAAAAGTACATATATTGATATTATATTAAAATAATAGGAAATAATGAATTAGTTGCCAATATGAGTCCACTTCAAACTGGGTTGTAGAAATCAAATACATAATTATTCACAATCTATTTATCTAACTAATGACGACCGGTTTCGACCACTACAGTTTTTTGGCATGATCAGGTCACCGGTAAAGCACAATTAAACATTATATTATTTCACTATATTATAGTTAATTTCTTGTCAAATTTACTAAATCGCTGTATTATTCCATTAAATAGTGCGTGGTATCTTTACAAATTAAAAAATTCTTAAGTTAGTGATTCAAAACGATTGCCGAAATTCTAAACATTCTTAAAACTAGTGTGCAATATAATTTAAGCTTTATGGGGAAACAGGAAGTAACTTCGATAAAAAAAAGGAAAAGCCCGGGTCATCCACAACTAATTTCCGAAAGGAACAAAAAAATATTAGTACAAATTTGCAAAAAAAATCAAAGATATACTCTAAGAGAGGTTGCAGCTGAATGAAATCATGAAACTGGATTAAATTTATAAAGGAAATGCTGCCGCTAGCGGCTACATAAATCTGCCTTAAAGCTTTGTAAGATGGAATTACAGGTAAAAATTTAAAAGTAAAAAAGAAAGGAAAAGGACAATCAAAATTAGGAGAATACATACTAATCTACAGTGGAGTAGGACAAGAAACCAGGGCCAAAGAAGGTGTAGCCTTATTAATACACCAAAGGTACCAAAATCACATTAAATCTTGTCAATACTATTAGAAAAGATTGTAACAACAAAGATAAGAATGAAGAAGGAAAGCATGAACATCATCGGAGTATATGGCCCAGAAAATAAGCCTCAAACAACAAGAGAAACATTTTATGACCAATTACAACCAGTAGTAGATCAAGTCAGGGGGAAGATGATAATATTGGGGGATTTTAACGCTCAAATATGCAATCAAGTAATAGCCGGAATTAAGCAAACACATAAAGTGAATGGTAAAAACGAAAATGGAACTGATGATCAACTTCAGCACGAATAACGAACTTAGAACAAACAACACATTTTTTGGCCACAAATATTATGTGTTGTTATGTTGGTTATAACATAACCAACAGATATATAAATCCATCGAAAATAATCGACGTAAGATGTCTCAACTCAGCAGATGGAGGTAGCGACCATAGCCTAGTATTATGTAAAGGCGCGTACAGATATGCGAGCCAAACGGTATATATCTACATCGTACTGATCGCATACTTATCTCGACCCATGGAAAGCGCTAAAACCAACAACGAACACACATGTGCGAAATGATTTATTTTATTAATAATTTGGGTACTAATTTATCGTGTTTCTGTTTCTTACAAAAATAGAAATATGTATAATAATCAGTTTACTGTTTTCTCACGTCTCATGAAGAAACACGTCATTCACACAATGTCGATTTGATGAGACTATAAAAATGTTCGCTGCGTCTAGTAGCGCCGTCTAAACTGAAAGATGAGCTTCTTTGGAAGTCGTGGAATCAACCGCAACAATTTGGTTCGCGACGAGTCACGATCAAACAGTACGCAAGCGGTTTTTTCTGCCGTACACATTAACGAATATAGCGTTCGCATACAGTATGCATACCGTTTGGCTCGTATATGTACACCGAGCTTTAAATAAGTATCATCCTGAAATACTTCACATCCAAGAGAGCGGCACCAACACAAATAAAAATCAAAATCAAACGAGTAAATACGGAATCCAGGGAATATTTATACAGAAAAAGAATATCTGAGAAGATCGCTGGGAATGAAATATTAGAAAACGATAACATCACGAAAAGCTGGGAAAAACTCAAAAATAACATAAGTAAATGCAGCAACACAATCACTTGGAGAGAGGAAAGTAACAAACACTAACATATCAAAAAAGAAAACACCATGCTTTCGAGAGGAAGTGAAGACAAAATGTGAAGAAAAGAAGAAAGCGTTTTTACAGTACAGAACACAACACACACAAGAGACATTGACAATATCAGAAATGAAACGACACTTGCAGAGTTTCTCAAAACAGGTGGAACACGACTTCTAGGGAACACAAAAAGAAATATGAAGAATGATCAGAGGACAAAGAAAAGAGAAGAACGAATTAATAAAAACGAAACATATTCAGAAAAAAACATGGGTAGACTACTTTCGATCCCTATTTGCTAAGGGTGACGATAATGAACCACCAACACCAGAGGTGACGACAAACGAAGAAATAAATATTCAGGAGGAAGAGGTAAAGGACGCATTAAGGCAATTAAACAATAGAAAATCATCAGGAGAGGATGGAATATCGAACCAGAAAAGACCAGAGTTGTAAAGTACGGAGGGCCAGATCTGACTAAACAACTATTAATACTAATTCAAAAAATAATAGACAAACCAGAATTCGTCAAAAATGGAGACCAAGCTTCCTGTTACCTCTCTTCAAAGAGGGAGACAAATCGGACAAGGAAAATTACAGAGGAATTAACTTGTTAAACACAATACTAAAATTAACAACCAAAGTGATAACAAATAAACTGAATGAAATTATAACACTAGCAGAAAAACAACAAGGTTTTAGGTCGGGAAGATCATGCACCGACGCTATATTTATAATGATGCCCGTACAAGAGAAATCATTAGAATATAACAAATCAGCATATCTATGTTTCATGGACCTTAAGAAGGCATTTGACAGGGTTAAATTAAAGGATGTTACCCACTTATTCTATGAAAGAGAGATACCTCTACAAATAATCGAAGGGAGATACCTGTAGGAATAATCAAAATGATCGAAAATATCTACCAAAAAAACACAATAAAAGTAAAACTAGAAGAGGAACTAACAGACCCTATTGGCAATGGGATAAGACAGGGATATTTCCTGAGTCCTCTATTGTTCAATCTGATTATGGATGAAATAATAAAAAAGTAAGAACTAAGAAACAGATACCTAATTGGAGAAAAACAACTTAAAATAATCTGTTATGCAGATGACACTCAAATATATAGCTCAGATATAGTACCCTCTCAAAGTGAAGATGATTTACAACATATGCTGCACCAATTTAATATAACCACCAGAAAATTTAACATGTTAACACCAAACACCATTTAACACCAAAAAAGACAAAATGCATGGTTACAACAGCCAATTTACTCAGATGTAAATTGGAGCTGGAAGGTAAAAGAACAAGTAATGGAGTTAAAATATCTAGGCATCAAATTATCTAGCTATGATAAGAGAAACTGAAGTGGAAGATTAAGTGAATAGAGCAAACAGCCGAAGTTGCCTGAATGAAACAATATGGAGAAATAAAAATTTTGGGAAAGAAATGAAAGGCAGAATTTACAAAACAGTCATAAGCGGCAGAAACACGGTCTGACACAGAGACAACAAAAAGGATGTTACAAATAGCTGAGATGAAAACTCTGGGTAAGAAATAGAAGAGTAGAACGGAAGGATCATATAAACTGAATAACAACAGATAGAGTAGTAAAGACAGCAAGAGACAGTTTCCCAATAGGAAGATGATCAGTAGGAAGACTACGAAAACGATGATGGAATGACAACTTACTGGAGGCACATTGAAAAACAGACAGAGTCATATCTACATAAAAAAAGAAGAGGAATTTAAAAGTGAACTCGTGGTTTAACAAATTATAGTTTCTTATAGACAAAGCAAAGTATTTTCTTATAGACAATATTAGCAGCAAAAAAAAACAAGCCAGACTCATGTGGGCTAAAACTAAACTTTCTTGATCCGTAGAAGTAACTTGTCACTTGTCATGTTTGTGAGTTTTCTTCAAATAATTATTGCCTTGGCAACTTCTTCTGTTGGTATATTATTTTTCTCCTTCTCATCGTCTACGTCTCCACTGTGGTAATTTATGTCAGTCACTTCTCGGTTGCCTATATTTAATTTCTCAGCAAAATTCTCCGCCCACCTCTCCACTCATTGATAATTTCGGCTTCCTTACTTTTTATTATGGTTATTCTAGGTTTAAAGTCTTTTCTGCTGTGGTTCACATTATTATAAAATTTTCGCGCTTCGCTTTGTGAATTCAGCCTTTCTAGTTCCGTAGCTGGTTTTCTAAATGTCTTTGTTTTTTTTTGTTTTAGTATCTTTTTCTCTGCTTGTCTCATCTATTTGTACTCCTTTTGATTTTGTCTTGCCCTTCTATTTTGGAGTTTCCCATACGCCTGATTCTTTTTTTCAGTTGCCTGTGCGCATTCCGCATCATACCATTCTGTCCCCTTCCTTTCTTGTTTCTTCTTTCCTAAAACTGTTGTTGCTACTTCTTTCAGGATATTTTCGCACTCATTCCAGTAATTATCTATGTTTTCAACAGTACTACTCATTTGGCCTTCTAGTTTTTCAAGTTTGTGTTCAAATTTTCAAACTATCTCAGGGTTTCGTAGTCCGTCCACCTCGAATTTATCTTCTTTGCTTCCTTTACCTTTTTTGCGTTAGAGATTCGTGCTCTTAGTTTAGCCTGGACCAGGTAGTGATCGAAGTCAATGTTTGCTCCACGTCTGGTACGTACAAATACATTCATAACATCGCTGTAATGTCTCGCGTCCACAACAACATTTAATTAATATATACAGTGTTTTTCAGATAAAACTATCCACCTTAAATAACTTTTGAACCTCTAATTTTTTGGAAAAACGCAAAAACACGTCAATTAATATTTGAGGGAGGAGATGTTATATCACATTAAAGGTTGCTGGGAAATGCACCCTTTCACCCCCGGTATCAACCCTTTACTTTTTTTTAATTACTTCCCCCTTTTTTTATTTTATATTTGGATTCTCCTTTCTGTGTTGATTTCAAAAATGTATAATACCTTTGGCTTGAAGTGATTAGGTTTATGAGATAGACAATTTTCCTGTTAACAAGGATAGTATCTCTCTCACCTTAAATGACTGTAACAAAATAGGTTGTAGCATAATTTAAACTTTTTAATTATTTAACCTTACTATTTGTAGTACCTTCAAAAACCAAGAAATAAAAAAATTCACTTTTTATTAAAGTTTTATCAAAGGTTAAGGATAACCTTTCCGAAGATTTGGTTGTATTTCAACATGATGGAGCTTCTCCACACTTTGCTTTACTTGTGCGATAATTTTTAAACGAAACGCTTCTTGGTCCTTGGATAGGGTAAAGACGATAGCTGATCGATTAACCACCTTGACCGGATTGAACACCCCTAGACTTCTTTTTAAAGGGTATTTAAAAACAAAAATTTATGCTACTCAACCAGAATCTCTAGATGATATACGACAAAGAATAGAGGATAAATGTCGACACTTAAATGCAGACGTTGTTAAGCAATGTCAGAGAAGAATTTCAAAATAGATTATACTATTGTATGGAAGGGAAGGCAGTCATTTTGAACAATTATTGTAAAACTTTTTAGTAGTGAAATGTTCATTTTAAATGTGTGTAATAAAATTGTTAAAAAATAATTTTTTTTCAATCCAATTTTCTTGCTTTTGTATTTATTTTTCTCATAAACTAATCACTTCAAGCATCATGTATTATATATTTCTGAAATCTGTACAAAGACGAGAATCCAAATATCGAATAAAAAAAGGGGGAAGTAATTTAAAAAAAATAAAGGGATGATACGAGGGGTGAAAGGGTGAATTTCCCAGCAACCTTAAATATGATATAATGTCTCACCCTTCAAATATTAATTGACGTGTTTTTGCGTTTTTCCTAAAATTTAGAAGTTCAAAAGTTATTTAAGGTGGATAGTTTTATCTGAAAAGCACTGTATATATATATATATATATATATATATATATATATATATATATATATATATATAATATATATATATATATATATATATATATATATATATATATATATATTGTAAAGACTACGACCGTCAATTTATATTAATAAAGTATTCAACTAGTGAATTCAGAGGTTTAATCGGTCATTGAGGTTGGCAAAATAAAAAAGAAGTCAACTACTTCATAAGTTTATAGAAGACGTTTCGCTTTATATTTCTAAAGCTTCATCAGTTCTCTAAAATACAAAGATGACATAGAGTTTATAATACAGAACTAATAATTTATAACTTACAACTCAATATGTAGTATATTAAAGATGTTGTTATATATGTACGTTTACTCATTATTTAGAACTAACTTAAAAAAAAACACAAACAAAGAACACAAAAACTTTGCAAAAAATAATATTCATTCGTAGATAAGATTTAAAAAAAAATTAAAACGAACATTTGGCTTCATTTAGAGATGGTTCTCCAATGAAGACAAACAAAACACTGATTTATTACAATCCATTGCAATCTATGCAAACGACGTGATGCGATACCGAAAATTTTTAAGGGCCATATGTTCAACAAATTCCAAGATTTGAGACAATTATGAACTTCTGCGGGGTGACTGTAAGATTAGTTGGACGGGTGGATTTGTATGACGGAAAAATTTGATATATATTTTTTTGTGTTTTATGTTTTAATGAAACTTAGGGATATAGGATGATTGTGGCATCATGACAAGGAAAATTACAGAGGAATTAACTTGTTAAACACAATACTAAAATTAACAACCAAAGTGATAACAAATAAACTGAATGAAATTATAACACTAGCAGAAAAACAACAAGGTTTTAGGTCGGGAAGATCATGTACCGACGCTATATTTATAATGATGCCCGTACAAGAGAAATCATTAGAATATAACAAATCAGCATATCTATGTTTCATGGACCTTAAGAAGGCATTTGACAGGGTTAAATTAAAGGATGTTACCCACTTATTCTATGAAAGAGAGATACCTCTACAAATAATCGAAGGGAGATACCTGTCGGAATAATCAAAATGATCGAAAATATCTACCAAAAAAACACAATAAAAGTAAAACTAGAAGAGGAACTAACAGACCCTATTGGCAATGGGATAAGACAGGGATATTTCCTGAGTCCTCTATTGTTCAATCTGATTATGGATGAAATAATAAAAAAGTAAGAACTAAGAAACAGATACCTAATTGGAGAAAAACAACTTAAAATAATCTGTTATGCAGATGACACTCAAATATATAGCTCAGATATAGTACCCTCTCAAAGTGAAGATGATTTACAACATATGCTGCACCAATTTAATATAACTACCAGAAAATTTAACATGTTAACACCAAACACCATTTAACACCAAAAAAGACAAAATGCATGGTTACAACAGCCAATTTACTCAGATGTAAATTGGAGCTGGAAGGTAAAAGAACAAGTAATGGAGTTAAAATATCTAGGCATCAAATTATCTAGCTATGATAAGAGAAACTGAAGTGGAAGATTAAGTGAATAGAGCAAACAGCCGAAGTTGCCTGAATGAAACAATATGGAGAAATAAAAATTTTGGGAAAGAAATGAAAGGCAGAATTTACAAAACAGTCATAAGCGGCAGAAACACGGTCTGACACAGAGACAACAAAAAGGATGTTACAAATAGCTGAGATGAAAACTCTGGGTAAGAAATAGAAGAGTAGAACGGAAGGATCATATAAACTGAATAACAACAGATAGAGTAGTAAAGACAGCAAGAGACAGTTTCCCAATAGGAAGATGATCAGTAGGAAGACTACGAAAACGATGATGGAATGACAACTTACTGGAGGCACATTGAAAAACAGACAGAGTCATATCTACATAAAAAAAGAAGAGGAATTTAAAAGTGAACTCGTGGTTTAACAAATTATAGTTTCTTATAGACAAAGCAAAGTATTTTCTTATAGACAATATTAGCAGCAAAAAAAAACAAGCCAGACTCATGTGGGCTAAAACTAAACTTTCTTGATCCGTAGAAGTAACTTGTCACTTGTCATGTTTGTGAGTTTTCTTCAAATAATTATTTTATTTCAATTGCTTCCGATTTTATTCATTTATTAACTTTCTCTTTCATTATAATATTTTTATTCTAAATTATTTTATTCTATTTAATCTTTAATTTTCAATTTTAAACTTTCACTTTTATATTCTATTCCTCTGCTAGAAAAACGCTCTTTGATAGATCTACTGGCCAGAGAAGAAGAGGAAGACCTAGAACAAGGTTCCTTGATAACATTGATGAAAGATCTGAGCTGAAAGATTTAACAGTGTCTTGCCATTTAAAAAAATCTAACTTCATCTTGATAAGGTGAATTATATAAAGTCATTGCAAATTTTAATGGACTGGAGTAAAATTTTTACTGCATGAGACTGTTCCAACCTTTCAGATGAGCAAACATAGAGAGTGATCACTATTTGGTTATGGCATAGGTTAAAAAAAGAATATCCAATAAAAAAAGATCCGGGGAAGGAGAGAAAAAACTCACACACTAAAACAAAGCAAATGTATATAGAGAGCAAATAGAAGATATATTAAGGACATAAAACATAGAAGATATTAACCTGCTATGGATAAAAACACAGGATATTGTATAATCAAATGATATATTGGGTAAAAGCAGGTAAAATGAAGTGGTTTGGTGAGTGGAAGATAGAAAAAATGAAGCTTATAAAAAAAAGAAGAGTATAGTCACCTCAAAAGAGAAGAAAAGCACATCCATCTACTTAGACTGGTTGATGGTGTCTAAGGTATAACTTTGAATTATACCAGCTATATACAGATCCAGGTATTATAAAAAAAACTTAAAATCCTGTGAGTAATTAATTTTCTATCACCAAAATGTAAAAACAATCTCTAAAAGTCATTGTAACTAATTGTAGTGAACTACAAATGCTGTGACATGGGTAAATAACGATAAATTCATGCTTTTATTTAAAAAATACAATGTGTTTATTTTAGTTTTGTAACAACTTCTCTGGAATTAAATGTTCTGTAAATCTCTACATCTCTAAAAATCAGTTATTTCCTAATTCTCTACTATTCTGAAAATCTGGCAACATAATGAGAAATTGTCAACATGGAATTTGGATGAGGTGCAAGGGATTTTACTTTCCATTTAGATATCAATTATAGTCAATATTTTTTTGTATACATTATAATATGTACTATTATTATAAGAATATTATAACATTATTTATTTCGAAATTACTTTTTGTATAATTAAGTAAAAAACCCAGTTTTTGTCCTTAATTTCTATTCCACAAAATTTAAGCTTTTAAATAAATTTGTCTGAATTCTTGTATGCATAATGTTAAACATATATTCTTTATTTTATTAATTTTAGCATAAAAACTAGTGTTGATGATTTTTTCCTAATATAAATTATCTCCAATAATTTTGAATTTGTTTGGTGCGTAATTTGGATATTTCCACTATAACCATGTAATCACCAAAGCTCCTAATGAAAGTTTATATCTAGTATTCTGTGTTTATATATAAATTACAGTTCGAAAAACCATTACATAGATTATAAAATAGATAATTAATGCAGTGGAATTTAACTACAGCAAAATTTACGATTCAAAATATATTTTGAACTAAAAATCTAACACAATCTCATTAAAACATTAAAAATAGCACAATCTGCAATCATGACAGGTAAATATTTACATAAAGATTAGCAAAATAAACAAAAACCTACCTGGACTGGGTTGATTGTCTATTTGATCTGCCATTTTGCTATTTTCCAGAAAATATAGTACTGACAATAATTTTTAAACGACAAGAAAGTATTCCAAAGGTACCATTACTTCTTCACTTTAACTATCATTAGTAATGAAACTTAACATTTTTATAATTTCTTTAGGTACTTTTTATAACGAGTCAGAACGATTGATAAGATTCGAGCACAGAAACAAAAATCATTAACCTTGCAAGTTTGTCGAATTACACATAACTTCTGTCTTTGTCAACTGTCATTTTGTCATAAGGTTTTTGTGTAACTGGCAACATTATAACTGTCAATTTATAAATATTTTTTTAAAAACGATTTTTGGAGTTGAGAAGTAAGCGTCAAATTTTAGTTAAGATGTAATGTAATTTAATGTAGTGTTAAAATGTAATTTTTATTACAATCTAGCCCACATATAAATATAATATTTGTCTTTTTAGGATTTGTACGTTTAAACAGGTGCCGAAAGGTATGCAGCTAGTATAACAGACAAAAGTAATACATAAAAATATTTTTGGTAAGTATATTATAATTATTTTCTACTGTTTATTTTACAACAGTTAAATTATACAAGAGACAACATATTTACTATAAATTTAACAAACATTGTGGTTTACGTTCTTCTGACATTGCCAAGTAAAGCGTAACACTGTTTCAAGACCTCTTGCATTTCTGCAAACATTCTACTCGGTTGACTTTTTTCCAGTTCTTTTATTTTTGGTAACAATTTTTGACAAATTTGATCAATACATGCTTCGTTTCCTTTTCTTAGATTCATTATATCGCTATCTGTTACTCCCGTCTTGAAGTTAGGTGAAGATAAAAATGGGAGTGTTGGCCAATCCTTTATGCACACTTCACAGTTACATTCGAAGAAATATTGTTTGTTAAGATTCAGTTGACGATCTGGTTTTAGCATTAGGGCATAATGGTATCTAAAAATTAAAAATATGTTTCTTTTTATGAGAGTTTGAGACTAATGAGTTTTTGGTGCAACTTAAATTGGAAAAAATACTACCTATATTATAAAGTTAACGAAGATAGTAGTAACAAGGGAGTGGGTTTCATGATTATTAGTTACACATAGAGTTGTCGTAGTGAGAACAAAGATATATTTTAGCAGAGAAAACACAGACATTCAGGGTTTCAGGTGATTAACATGCCGCAATTTATAAAACGAATTACATAAATTTGTTTCTGGAACATAGAGACATTTTAAAATGTTTTAGCAGGCTTTAAATAGCAGGATTTTAATGGATTTTAAGAAAAAAAGTGAGAAACAGAGCAGAAAAAGAACAAACGACCGTTTAGGATTGAATAAAAATCTGGAAAACGAAGCTAGGAAATCTTGAAATTACTTATTAAGAAAGAAATCGTTATGGACAATAAACTGGTAAGAAATTTAATTTATATTCAGATAAAAACAAGATAGAATCCCAACAGGATGGAATGGGTTGCCTTTGCATTAGAAGACAATACCACAAAACCACAAAAGAGAAGAAAAATGAAGAAGGTTTTGCAGTAAAAGTAATTGAGGTAATAAAAGTGACAAATATGGATTCAAAGAAATATGACAAAAAACTATTACCATTATTTATCGTAATTTTCCAAGAAGAGTATGTAGCAGAACAGCCTTCTAATATCACTAATTTATGCTACATGTCAGTTCAAATAGAAGATACAATTAGGAATGAACACAACACAATATAATGCTACACTTGTCAAGAGTTCTTGCAGAGCCAAACAGCCTGCCACGACTTACCAAAATGCGTGAAATATCGAGAAAATAGTAGGATCGACTGAGAAGAAACCAAGAACAATGATGTGCTGAGATAAAGAAGGAGATATAGTAACTCAACAGAGTGAAATACTATAAAGATGGACAGAATTCTTCAAAGAAAAGTTTGAAAAAAAAAACGAAGATCCACTATACGATGGATTTATATTGGATCAAATGGATACCAGAGAAACAAGCCCCCCTTCAGTAGCTGAAATGCAAGAAGCAGTTACCAGACTGAAAAACAAGAAGTCACCTTGATTAGACATTAGCGCAGAATTAATAAAGGAAGGCGGATACTCCCTATTGAATGCGATACACGAACTAATAGTGAACATATGGAATGATAAACAACTGCCACAAGACTGGCATACCGGAGTAATTATCCCACTACAAAAAAAGGAAAATCAGCTTCAATGTAAAAACTACCGGGCAATAACACTACAAACTGTGGCATATAAAATACTGTCAAATATTGTGTATGACCGATTGAGACCATATGCGGAACAAATAGTTGGGGGATATCAATGTGGTTTCTGCAGGCAGAAGTCCACAATAGATCAGATCTTCGTCTTGAGGTAAATCTTGGAAAAGACTAGTGAATTTAATATAGACACACATCATCTGTTCATCGATTTTGAGAGTGACTATTCGAGAATTTCTGATCCATGGTCTGAAAGAGTTTAATACTCCAACTCAACTCATTGATATGGTAAAAGAAACACTTAAAGTACAAAGCAAAATTCGAATTCAAAACGCACTAACAGATACAATCCATGTGAGAACAGGCCTACGACAGGGAGGTGCCCTATCCTGTATTCTATTCAATATTACATTAGAGAAAATACACAGAATATAGAAGAAGAACAATAATAACAAAAAGTGTACAAATATTGGCATTTGCAGATGATGTTGACATCATAGCTGGAAGCGAAAGAGAGAAGATAGAAGCATTTAATGCAATAGAAAGAGCGGCACAAAACAGTGGCCTAAACATTAACGAAATAAAAACCAAATATATGAAGGCCTGCAAATTGACAGACCAAAGAAACCTACAAAATCTGGCACTAGGAGACTATAACATCGAAAGCGTGAACAATTTTACATATCTAGGTTCACTAGTTACCGCAGATAACAATGTCAGTGAAGGAGTTAAGAGAAGAATACATATCGGTAATAAAACATATAATGGACTAATTAAACATTTAAGATCTAACAACATCACAAGAAAAACCAAATGCAAAATATACAAAACCCTGATAAAGCCGGTCCTTGTATATGGATCAGAGACATGGACACTGTCGGAAAGCGATGAGAACCTATTAGGTACGTTTGAATGAAAAATCGTTAGACACATATATATATAAGGGGTGAAAGAAAATGACATATTGGGTAGAAGATATAATTTTGAACTATACAGAGCATACAATGAACCCGAGGTCATAACATCCATGAAGATCGTCTGCGCTGGATGGGCCATGTTGAACGGATGTTGGAGACTGAAACACCAAAACATATAATAAGGCAAACATCAGTAGGAAGAAGGTCAAAGGTAAGACCCAAACTTAGATACATGGAACAAGTGGAACAAGATCTGAAAACACTTAAGATTACCAACTGGAAAAACAAAGCAAGGAACAGAACAGAATGGCGGAATATCCTAGAACAAACCAGGACCCAGAAAGGGTTGTCGAGCTACTGATGATGATGATGAGTAGGATCGACTATTGTAAAAAGACAAAGGAAAACCTTACAACAAGCGGTGCAAATTGCCAAGGAGCTGCTATCTAAAGAGGATATCTCATAACCTGCAAAAATAAAAAGTTGTGTACATGTTGCAGAAATTAAAAGGTAACCACAAAATTGGTGAATGTTCAATTTTCTGTAGATTATCTAGTGCAACAATTGAACCAATTTTCAGGCATGATACTATAAAAATGAATCAAACTCAACTACCCACCTAGTGGATTGGAGTAATATAGTAATCACCTGCCAACTCCATCACAGTCCAAATGGACAAACATTAATGTCCTAGATGAATTTATCAAGAGACTGGAGCTAGACGACATCGCAATGCAATAGACTAAACTTAATGATAATATAAAAGCAAAAATTCTAGGTTATGACATATATATATATATATATATATATATATATATATATATATATATATAGAAGCGATTGCAGATTAAATTCAGAATGAACAGCAATATTAAAAAAAATAAATAAAGAAAAAAAAAGTGCCGAGGCAGACGATTGGTAACAGTGGTTACGCAAGATCCCAGAATTAGCATGACCACACAAAAAAAAAGAAAGAAAAGGTTACTACCTAGAGGAAAAATCTAATACAATAGCAGTTAGACCAGAAGAACTGATGCATTTTTATAACTTTGGCCAAGAAATTGGTCAAGTTTCAGAAGAACAGTAAGCAAACACTTACGAACTACTGAGAGAAAAAAAAATAGGAAGCGTAAAACAGAACAAGAAAACCTGAAATCAAAAAATTAGTAAATTTCCTAAATAGGGGACAAAAAAGGGTATCAGAGGGTGTTGTACCAAAGGGTATAACACACAGTGCAATAAAGAATTTACCCAGAAATGCGAATGCCTCAGGATGAGAATATTATAGAGAAAATAAGATATTTAGAGAATAGAGAAAAACAAAGAAGAAAAACCACGCCCGTGTTTCGTCTAAACGCTGATAAATAAATTTAAATTCTAAAAAATGTTCATCTTACCCATAATTGTCGTAACATTGTTCCCCTTTAGCTATACTTCTAATAGCTCTCAAAACGACAGTATTTCCGTGGCAATGTCTCACTACATTAGGGTTGCAACAATGATTAAATAAACTTAAAAACGAGAAAGCACCTGCCCCTATTTCCTGAGTCTCGAAATACCCATCGTTCGTCCTACTTAGCTCTGATATTTCGTGGAAATTGCAAGGTGCAGTTTGAAAATGTAACAACAAAATCTCTTTGAATATTTCTTCTTCCGTATCGCCACAAAAAAACTGCGTGTGAGTTTTCACCAAATTAAAAATAACGGCAGCTGTTGTAGATCGTTCAAACAAATCAGCTACTGATCTGGACCGAGTGTTTGCCACTAAATTATGGATTTCTTTGTATCTGTCAGATCTATACTTGTTATTTTTGTCGACACTGTCTAATCCGTTATACGTTTTTATTTCATTATAGTAATCTCTCGTCAATATAGCTAATTTAAGAGGCAGTAGCTTCATCTTGTCCAGCTGTAAGCTTCGTAATGTTTTTAGAATATTGCATTCATATTTGTGATACTTCTGGGCCTCTTTTTGACACTTCGAGCTGCAATAAAACACTTGCGTACAGTTCGAACATGGTAGTAAATTGTAGCTGAGCCTTAGACATTCGTGACAATGACTATAAAATTCCGATGCTAAAATGTGACAAAATGGTTTTTCTACGGCTAAAATATCACCTATTTCGATGTTTTCTTTGGCTACGACATGTCTTCCTTGTGTTGGCGTACTTTGAATTTCTAATAAATTTGTGGCACATGCTATTGATGGCGATTTTGAGGCTGTTGGTAGATCTGGAGCTGGTTTAAAGTATAGTGTTCTGCCTTTCTCCGATTGTACTTGAGATAAGGCATTGTTTTTCCGTTTTATTAATTTTGGTTGCAGATCTTTGGGGTAGTTATTCTCAAGAGATTTTTCTATATCCTAAAAATAATAGATTTGTTATTAAACCACTAAAACTTGTATATAGTACCTTATAAATTATAAGAAATGAGAAAAATCAAAACTTTATGCGGTCTACGTTCGTTAGTAAATTATGACAAACTAAGAAATTAAGAACAAAAGATTTTGACAATACTTTAGATATAAGATCGTATACAAATAAATATTACAATAAAAATATGGTACAACAAAACAAAATCAATAAAAACTAATCACAGACTGATACAAAGTTTGAGTATGTGGTTTTTTTTATTATTTTAAAGAGTTGATGTCACCAGCGCACCAAAATAAGCTGTCAAAACAATACTGTCAAGCATTTTACCCGTATAATGAAAGCAGCGCCACTCCACCCTTTTTTTCGAAGCTGTTTATTGTTTTAATATTACAATTTAAATGGGAATAAGCCACAATTAAAGGTTAAAGTACGTTTATTGACGTTTCAATTTCCACTTCGGAAATCGTTGTCAAAATACAAACATTAGTAAATTAAACAAATTTTGTTTTTTTTGTTACTTAGTAAAAAAATTCTTCTAATAATTTAATTTTATCTGACTCGTTTACATTGACGACTTTAAAATGATATTGCAAATATTGTTGAGAAGCGTTCCTGGGACGACTTTTACTTGTGAGATAGTTCATTCGATTACATGAAATCAACTTTAACTTGAGAACATCCGTCAGAAAAAATCACAGCATGTAATTCGTCTTTAAAAAGACAAACACATGCCATGATGACAGTAAAATTCTGCTGTTAGTGATTCCATAGTAAATTATGAGGGAAAAACCAGGAGAAAAAACCTTATAATACTATACCGACATGCTAAGTATTTGGTCGTACATTTAGTTTACCTTCAATAAACACCAAATTCTGATTTTATATGTTTGTTATTTAAAAAACATAAATGATGTATCTTCTATATATGTTACTGACTTACTAGTACTGGTATTTTTCTTTTAATAACTTCCTCTTTTAATATGGGTAACCAGATCCTATTACATTCTGCCGAGGAATTTGTGACAAATTGGTCTCATTAGAGCCGCTTCTTTGATTTTTCTTTTTTTACCATCCGTTTCTTTAGGACTATATTTGAATCATTCCATTGAACCCTATGTTTATTATCCCATGCGTGTTTACATATTTGAGATCTATCAAATTTTTCTACATATAGCCAGGATATATGGTATACAGCCAGCTACAGGAACTTAGTTTCCTAGTGGAATTATCTATCAAATTCTCTATTTTTATTATATGATTGATGTTCACTTATTCTAACATTTAATGGCCTTGATGTTTTACCTAAATAAACCTGATCGCATTCACAAGGTATTTTATAAATGTAATTCTTTAACCATTCTTGTTCATTGTTGGGTTTGGATTTAGACAAAATAGATCTCAATGTGTTTGTTGATTTGAATGTTGTTGAAATGTTTAATTTACTTCCTATCCTTTTTTTTCTGATAATCCTTTTATGCATGGTATTGTTATTTTCCTCCTATTATTCCTTGTGTATGCTGTAGGATCTCGTTCTAAGTTGTTCTGTTCTATTCGGTCGATTGTTGAAAATTGCTTATTTATAAACGATAAAGGATAATCATTTGTTAATAAAACATATGTTAACAAATGTTTATTCTCCAATAACGAATTTTCGTTAGAACATGTAATCTCAGACCGTGTGTCTTCATCTGATCGTCTTCTTTGAGTGCCGTGCTTGTTTTTAAGCTTTGGCTATTGTCATATTAACATGCTGATGAAATGTTTCTCAATTGTTAGCTAGATGAAACAATTTCTCGATCGCTCGACCTGTCCATTGTGTAATGTTACGCAGCCAGGGCAGTTGTTTTCTTCCGACCCAGCGTATTCCTTTAATTTTGCCCTGAATAATCAACCGGAGTAGGCAATATTTAGGTCGTCTCATTATATGACCCATATATTAGACCTTTCTCATTTTGATGATGATCAATTTTCGCTCTTTATGCATGGTCTCTAGCACCGCTTGTCAGATATGTGTGTTGTTCACGGAATTTTGAGTATGCTACGGTAAAGCCACAACTCGAATGCTTATAATTTCTTAAGATTTTTTATTTTTGTTTTCCAGGTTTCACATCCATAGAACAAAGAGGACCAGATGCAGCACTTCAATACTCTTAGACGTATGGTTAATGACAGACTTCTACTGCAGAATACAAAACGACAGGTAATAAAGATTTTTCATGCAAGTTATATTCTGGTCAAAATTTCATCATCACTTTTAACCCTGCGGTCGATTTTGTTATCTAATTTTAGTACTGAGCCTTTGATAATAATTTTTCCGTCCACCATCCAATTTGTTTTCTTAACGATCATAAATTATAGATCCCACTATACTGCAGGCAACTCTTTTTTCCAAATCCTCCGAAAGTGCAAAAAAGTCTTTCTGCTCCTTTTATAGTAACATTTTGTAAAAATTCAATTTTAAATACTTTCAATAGGATAACTGGCGTAGTTACCTATTTTCTAACAAATTCGCAAAAAACTGGAACATGATGACACACGCGATATATTTTCTAACAGAACTACTAAAACAAATCGTATAGACGAAGACAAACATAATCCAATATTGATGGATTGCTACGATGATAGATGAATAAGGAGTTCGTGTACTGACATTACCGCATTATTGATCTTTTTTGAAGGAAAATGTTTTAAACTTTGAAAAATAAAGCTATTATCGAGCACAAGTTTAATTAAATCTTGCCCAAGTACTTTTGCTTAAAATAGCATCTTCAGGGGCATCTGAAATAAGCCAAGAAAACGTTTTTTAGATGAAGGAAATTAGTTAACTTCGATAAAAAACTCGAAGTTAATGGATGAAAAAAATTTTTTTTCTGATTAACGTTTTAGACTTACTTCGTCAAATATTGACGTTGAAAATGTTTTAGTCTAAATTATAGACAAGGATGCTCATATATATATATATATATATATATATATATATATATATATATATTATATAATATATATATATATATATATAGCTCACAAGCAGGATCATAGTAGGGCGAAGGATGAAAGAGCTGAAAATAATAGAAATATTTAAAAAGCTAAGAAACGAGTGTTAGTAAGATAACGTAGAACTAAAGGATACAAATAAAAACAAACATAGAAAAGATAATATGAAGTAAGGTAAGGACGCCAATTAAGACCACGTTAAGGTTTAAATGTCTGTAATATTTTATTCAGCAAAAATATGGGGGAAAAGTCTTGTATACGTATTGCCTAACATTTTAGCTATCGAATTTTACGATAAAATACTTAATAAATAAATAAATAAATATAAAATTTTAATATTCAATAAATCTTGAATATTTGGCCTTATTTGGAACTGGTAACTTAATAAGGCCAGTTTCATTTTTGAAGGAAATTTAAGTGACTAAGAAATTTTAAACCTAAGAATTAAAGAATAAATTTAAGGTTAGTGAAATAAACGTTTACTCATATTAAAAACAAAAACTTGTCAATACATTAAGTACAACAAACACACTTGCGCATATCAGCCACTCTTTTTTCATCACACAAGAAACAGTACCATGAATCTTTTTTTAAATTCGGTTTTGATTTTGCTGAGCTATAAGATTGTGCACTAAATAAATCTCTGGTAACTTCTTGTGCTTTCGCATTAATGGCCTGCCGACGTTTTTTTGTTGATACTTTTAACTCCGGTGTAATCAGTAATCCACTGGAACTAAAACTTGCATTTAGTTCTTCACATGGCTCTGTTTTACTTATTTTTGCAACTTTATTTTTATCATATTTATTTGACGTATAAACTGCATCACTATAATCCTCGCTGGAAGCTTTACCACTTGTGTAAGACCCAAATGAGTCACTGTCTTCATCTGAGATTAAGTATGAAAAACTTTGGTGAGTTCTTTTTTTGGGTAATTTTCCTTTTGTCACTGCTTTTTGCTTTTATTATATTTGTTTACACCGCTGCAGGATAACTGTTCTTCAAAATTTGTATTCTTTTTGAAAGTTGTTTTAAATACTGGTTGGGTTGTAGGATTTTCTTGAAAATGTTCGGCGATTGTTTCAATCTCTCGTTGTGTCAGATAACTAGGTGCAAAGGCAGCATCCGGAATAGAATTTGGATTGAATGGCCATATTCCAGTTGCTTCAAATTCAGAACAAATATTTTTTTGCGTCATTGCGTTTTTCCAAACCGGCGTAAATATTTGCCCAAATCTTGCTCGGTTAATGGTACGTTCGTTATTATGGTTCACCCAAAAATTTAACACCTCCTCATAACAAAGATTCGTAAGACGTAAGAACGTAAGATTCAAAACTCCTGAAGACTGCTTTATCGAGTGGTTGAAGCTCATGGGTGGTGTTGCACAGTAGATAAAAGTTACATCTTTTTTTATTGCAGCTTCTACAATTCTAATGTCTAAATAAGATGAATCTCCATCAAAAATTAAAAGGGCTGGTCCAGAATTTTTGAATCGACAGTAGTGATCTAACCATTATATAAATGCATCTGCTGTCATGCTTCCTTTCTTGGTCATTTTAATTGTTGTTTCTGCTGGAAGATTACAATAACATTCTGGTTTAACTCGTTGCCCTTTCATAATGATAAGTGGCGGAATGCTGTTGCCGTTGCCACATGTCACGATTGTTATATTTTCGCCGTGCTCTGGTGCAACGATATCCACCCTTTTAGCACCTTTACTAGCCAATACAGTTTATTGGTGATCCAGTGTAAGCTGGCATCCTTTTTCGTCCATGTTGTAAATTTGAGCAGGTTTCTATGCGAAGTCTGTCGAATATTAAATGTAAGTGCTGCCTGATGAACAGCCATGCCATTTCGTATGGCATTCATTGCAGCTTCAATGGCCTCTTCGGTCCACTGTGCCCTTTTTCTGGTGTACATATCTGCAAAGAAAAAATAGTTTAAACGATTATGTGAACAAATTTTTTATAATGTCAACCAGCTCTTAATAAGGCCAATCAATTGGCCTTATTAGGGCACTGTTTACTTTTCTATTTAACATAAAAAAACAATAATAAAAAGCAATATAGCGAAAAAACAGTACCAGTTTCTAAAAGAGTATTAATTTTCTACTGCTTTACAAAGAAATAATATTTGGTATATATTATTTAAGTAACTTTATAGTGATTTTATAACTTACCTCCAATTTATAACCGAACTTCGGCACCGTAGTAAACACGTGTCTAATTAGTATACTTCGCGCTCCTGTTTGATACTACCGACTGAATGGCGTAGACGATTTTGACTGGGAAAACGATTTACAGTGACATATAGTATATAATATCTATATTTAAGGAAATAGTTACAATTGGCCTTATTAAGACACTGGCCTTATTTGGCGTCACTACCTTACTGAAGAAGATTTGTAATTAACACAATGAATTAAAGGAGAATGCTAAAAAATAAATGTAAATATAAATAAGAAGTCAAAAATGCATTTAAAGCTTATTACCTTTTTCTCTGACAATCTTCCATACATATATCAATATGCCAATCAATAAGTATATAGAGAAAGAAGAATATAAGAAAAATGGTTGAGAGAAAGTTGCAGATAATAAAAAAGTTTTGTACGTACCTTCAAACACTCTTCGTAAAGTTCCAATTCAAATAAAACAGCAGACCTATTGGCCAACGCTTTTGAAAAATTTTCCGAGTTTTCTTCGGCATTTGCTAAACTTTGTGTATATAACTCAAGGGCTTCTTGTAATAGTTTTCCCTTAAACTTCTGGTTTCCTTGTTCTCTTAAGTTTACAGACACTTTATCACATTTTTTATCTTTAACAAACTCACACGACACTTCATACTTTTTTAACAGTTCAGAAACAAACTCAACTCTTTCACGGTTGGTAATTATTTTGGAGAATTGTTTTGAGACGTTATCAACTTCGTCGTTTTGTTGAATTGTTTTCAACAAGTCTTGGAATATAGTTTGGATACTATGACTGGTTTTCATATTTCCGGCAGGTGCGATTTTATCAATATATTTTTGTGTAGACCAAACCGTTATTTATACATTTTTATAGATAAGATAAACAGGTATCAATACATATTAATTAAGTTAACAAAAGTGTATTGTGTGCGTATAAAAATAATTTACGGTATCGTTTCATCGAGCATATGGTCGAGGCACCAGTTCAGTTGTCTCTATCTATATGATATAATATATCAAGCTTCCTTGTCTATTTCAGCCGTCTATTTTCGTAGTAGTGGCGTCGCAGGAGGTCATTTGACGTTCATTGCGCTAAGTCACTGTACGCGTGTCTTATCCATTCAACACACGCCGCATTCTATAAGTATACAGGATGATCCTTCCATATTTACTAATTGGAACTCAATATAATTGAAAAAAATAAAAACCAGTTGCGGTTTTTAATACTTGTGTTTGAAAGGCCGCAAAGTACAGCAACTTTTTCATGAAAATTTGAAATTTTGTTGCGATCTGAATAACGATCCTTAGCCATGTAATCGATATAAAATTACACCAGTTCTATCTGCGCCATAATTACAGCTATGAAGGACTCGGCTAGTAGATATCAAAAAGTAGATGTCTTATTTCAGAATTTTATCAAAATTGGCGATTAAGAAATAGTAAACTTTCAAAGATCAAGCCGAAAAACATGGTTTCAAATATGAAATCTATACTAATATGAAGCTGAAAAAGCCTCTATACTATTAAGTTCAGTTGTCTCTCATACTATGGTGATGTAAAGAACACGCAGAGATAAAACTCATACAACAAAGGTAAGAGGTAAAAGAACATTAAAAAATTTAAAATTAGAATCGAACGAACCGAGTACTTTCATTTTTCATAAGACAAGACATGGGAACTGGCTTTAAAAATTTTACTCAGAATACCTAGCCTGAAATCTTTTTCAACTACCAACGCATGGTTGTACCAAGCAAGAAAACGAAGATAACCTTACTTAATCATTCTGGAGACAATACAGCATCATAGCAATATTACAGCCTAATATATGTTTTAGGTTTATTTATGTATTTTTTTTTATTTTGAACTAACTCATATTTTTTTGTATGTACCCACATTGGAATATACGTGGACTGTCGTTGTACCCTAATTAAATGGGAAAATACAAAGTCAAATAGACGAAATGCTAAAAAGATGAAGAAATATAAAAGGTAACAAAACAATACTGCCGTCCTAACATGAAAGGTCCTATCTGCAAAATTTGGTAAAATGACTTTATTGGCTCACGGCACGCGTAAACATATCATCTATGTATGTACAAAATGAAATTGTCCTATAAGCGTCTTAAGTGCCTTATTATATACCTAAATAGTTTGTCCTAACTGACTAAAAAGCCATGTTCACTAACATAAATTGTCCTATCTCACATATACTAAGAAAAATTGTCCGTTTTAACTTTAAAAATGCAGTTAGGACTATTTAATCTCTAAGCTATTATAGCTTACCTTTTATCAGGGGTCTGGAGACACAAAACTTGCCGAATTTCAACTATATCGTACTGCTCAGTGGAAAATAAAATTAAATCAGCTTCACTGTTCATTTGTGGATAAGGGTAGGATTATTTAAAAGGGGTCTCTTTTTGGAGAGCCCCTGGCAATTTATGTACTGCTCAAAATTAAATCAAGAAACATTTCTTTTTAGAGAAAGAAATAATCAGATAGGGTTTTTTTTTCAAAAATTAACATCACATAATGGGTCAAACTTCTAAAGAATAATAAAAGATTTAAAATGTACCGTTTAGCACTTGGTGTATTATGGATGTAACTTTTTAAAATGTTTTTATTATCGGCCTAACTGTTACTCAAAATAAATAAGTTTTAAACTATTTTCATGGGGTAATATTTATATGAATTAAAATGTATGTATAGGGTGAGTAAAAATTTAATAGAATAACAAAATTTGAACAATGTGTATTACAAGTTACAAAATGAAGCAGTAAGACATGAACTGAATATCTAGTCGATCAATGAGACAATATAAACTTAAAAAACAAAATGAAAACAACATAAACGTTGAGTCGATCTCGAAAATTGACCTTTTTTTTTTTGAATTGCCGTAATGTCAGATTTCAGTCAGAGCCTAAGAAGGTATCCATTGAATTATCACAGGCAACTGTGGGGGAACCCTGCGGAACAACCTGCGAAAGACTGATGCTGGTGTCTTTTTCTTTTATGGACCTGTGAGTAAATTATCTGTCAATTAGGTCGACCAGGTACACACTAACGTCCAATTCTCTCAGTCTGAACATAATTTTTTCCCATGCTGTCGTATTAAAGCATTCTTGATGTCAAGCAGGATGAGAGCCACCCATCTTTTTGTATCCTGCGTAACTAAAGAGGTTACTTCTGTGACTGCATCTATGGTGGACTTTTTGGCCCTAAAACTATATTGGCTGTCGCTCAGCGAATGCTTTTCTTCCAGCTCTCGCTCAAGGCGGCCTTTTACAAGCCGTACAATTTAGCTATGGAATTAAGAAGGCAAATTGGCCTAAATCGCACCTCTTCCTGTCCAACCTTACCATCTTTTAACATTGTTGGAAACTGCTGTTGTTCAAGCAGTTTGTTTAACAATCTCAGAAAAACCTGCGGGTATTTTAGTACGGCGAGTCTTACTGTCTCTGGCATGACTCCAGATATGCCAGATGCTTTTTGGATCATACAATCTAGACAAATTAAAAACGGCTACAGGAAGACACATGTTTAGGGAGGAACTTCAACTCAAAAGAAGAGAACGTGAAGTAAATAGCTGGGAAGATCTGGCAAATGTTTTGACAGAAATAGCTGAAGATAAACTGGGTAAAAAAGAGAAACATAGAAAAGAATGAATATCAGATGAAACTTGGAATCTTATCGAAGAAAGAAAACAGCAAAAAAAAAAGATATTTTGCAAGCAAGAACTGTAGAAGAAAGAGCGAACCGACAACAAGAATATGAAACAATAAATAAAGCAGTTAAAATAAATGCAAGAAGAGACAAAAGAAGATGGGCTGAATAACTGGCAAAACAAGCCGAAATAGCTGCACAACACAATAGAACTAGAGAGCTATACCAAATTACTAGACGTCTAATAAAAAGTGGGCCCAACTGTTCAAACGTCGTAAGATCCAAGACAGGAGAATTACTTATTACAACAAATGACCAAATAGAGAGATGGAAAGAGCATTTTCAGGAGATGCTAGGCACGCCCAGGGATAACGCAGATGAAATTGTCGAAAATCCACAGAATATAGACTTGCGTATATCTTGCGACGCCCCTTCCAAAACAGAGATAATAATAGCTATCAAATCTCTGAAAAATAACAAGTCTCCGGGAATCGATAACATTGCTGCCGAAATACTTAAAACTGATCCGCATCTAACTGCTGAACTTTCGCTCCCCATAATCCGAGAGGTGTGGGAAACAAACCGCATTCCAGCGGGCTGGAAAAAGGCATCATTATTAAGCTTCCAAAAAAGGGCAACCTCACACTATGCAAAAATTGGAGAATAATAACCTTGCTTACGGCCATAAATAAAATCTTCACGACCATCATTCTTAAAAGATTAACAAACAAGGTTGAATTTCGAGCTAATCAAGTAGGCTTTAGACCAGAATCCTCCTGCATAGACCACATTAATACTGTGAGGCTAATAATGGAACAATCGGTTGAATGGAACACACCCCTATACATGGTTTTTGTTGATTTCGAGCGTGCTTTTGACAGCTTATCTCATGATGCGATATGGAAAATTTTAGAGCTAAGAAACATCCCGCATAAAATAATTTCCATTATAAAGTTACTGTACACTGAAGCGAAATGCAGCGTGACACACAATGGGATCAACAGTGACGAATTTGACGTACTTACTGGCAGTCAGACAGGGATGCGTGCTTTCTCCGTTTCTTTTTAACATAGCTCTAGACTATGTTCTCTCCAAACTAGACTCTGACACAAGAGGGATACAATGGACGTTAACCACACGCCTAAGCGATCTAGAATACGCCGACGATATCTGCCTGTTAGGACAAAGGTTCCAAGATGTGGCTGACCAATTGGAAACACTTTCCACTGAAGACAATAAAATAGGTTTGAAAATCAATATTAGTTAAAACCAAATCCATGAGAATAAATGCAAGAAACAACACGCTATTCACCATTAATAACATGCAGATTGAAAATGTGGAAAACTTTACGTATCTTGGAAGTGTCATAACAGAAAGCGGAGGTACAGAAGACGATATTCGTATGAGGATACGAAAAGCGCAACAAGCTTTCAGCATGCTCAACCCTGTTTGGAGGTCTGGAGACTACACTACGAGGACAAAGATCCGCATATTCCAGTCAAATGTCATGTCTGTACTACTTTACGGATGTGAAACCTGGAAGCGACAAAACCCTACGACAAACGCAGTCTTTGTTAATAAATGTCTACGAAGAATTGTTCGTATTTTCTGGCCTAACATCATCAGAAACGAAGATTTACTACACCTGACCAAACAAAAGAGGGTAGTAAATGAAATAAAGTCCAGAAAGTGGGGTTGGATCGGTCACACACTCCGAAAAAATAACTCCAGTATTGCAAAGACTGCCCTAGAGTGGAATCCCCAAGGAAAACGAAAAAAAGGTCGCCCAGTACAAACTTGAAGAAGATCCATCATGGACGAGATAAAAAAACAAGGAAAGTCTTGGAATGAGGTGAAGGCCTTAGCGCAAAATAGAACCCGATGGCGCGTTTTCACTGAAGCTCTATGCTCCACTTAGGAGTTCAAGAACCTTCCAACTCAGTGAAAGGTTCCGCATCTACGAAACCAATAACCCTTTCACAACTATCCTGCACCTGAGTAAAGAGTTCCCATATTAAACGGAGTTTCTCCTCCTCAAGCAGAAGGTAGGATATCTTTTCCCCTTCAATTCGGTATAGACAATCTTGAAGCCCTACCCCCAGATATCCCTTTCGAGATCCTGAAGCAGGTTACTCCACATCTTTTTCTTAGATCTTCTTATCTCATTCCTGTT